GAAATCTGAGGCAGCAAACGGAAGATCCGCAATGTTTGATCTGAACGCCTCTGAAGAAACACAGAGCACTTGAGATGAAGCAGCGCTTGCTCCTTGCAGGTACTGTATGCGATAGAACCGCCTGGTCTACTTTTTCTTCCTCCACAAGTACCTGGATACCTGTAAGTGACGCAATTTTTTGAGCTCTGCCAAAGTTTTTAGTTTACTACTAATTCAGAGAAACAGTTTGACCTCGAGGACACTCTGTATTTGTGCCCTGATCATTACGAATCTTGGCCTGATAGGAACATCTACAAGGCCCTCGATATTTTATAGAGTAACCTTCTACGGCCCAATTCACGTTTTGACACCAGAAGTGACCCAGCTTCGCTTGAAGCCTGAAAAAATCAGACAAAATCTGCCAAGCAAAACCGCGTGTTGCATTTCCAAGCAGTCCCTTTGCGAATGAGCCCCAGCCTGATCATCCAAAATGGCTGAGAAAGACGCTTTATACCATTATGCCTTCAATACAAAAATGTTGTCGTACGATATCGGTTTCCCAGAGAGAAAGCCTTACTTCATTATTTTGGTGAATGCTGAGAAAAGCGAGACCTCTAGCAAGAATTCATCAGCAAGCTTTAAAAAAGCAGTGAGCGACAAGAACAGCAGCGTGCCCAAAGTTTTGGGAAGCGCAGAGCTGGTCACCCCAGAGAAAGCGTTCTATGCCAACGAGGTTTACCTAGTCGTTGGTGTCGTACTCTCTGCCGAGCACGTCAAATTTCATTGCCAGAATGTCCACACGCCTTCAGACGCAAAAGACGGTTCCGTGCCCACTAGATTATCCAATCAAGGATCCAGAAAGAGAAAAAGGCAAACCAACCACATACCCTTGAAAACCCACAATGCTCAGCCGATTCAACCCTGAAGAGCACAGCATTTTACCTACCACCGAGGATGCGTGGGTGATGGTGGTCAATCTTTCCAGTCAATGCAAGAATATCTACGTGCTCTTTGGCAAGCAGCCAGATGGTCGCTACTTGCTGGCACAACTTGCATCCAAGATGGACGATCAACAATTCTTCTTCAAGGAATGGGTCACTTCGCCAAAGAGCAAAGTACCCAAGAACGTTAAGTCAACATGGGTCAACAATTACAAACGGTATTGCGAGGAGATGTCTTAGAAGATGACTTGGCTTGATGTCAAGAAAGCGTCCAAAGGGGATACTGTTGCAGAGGCTTGTCTTTCGGCCGAGTTTGACTTCAACCGCATGGTTCATTTAATCACGCAGGTGGTCTGTCTGTATCAAGAGACTCAATCGCCGGTGTACCTGGAAGCAGCGCTGAATGCTTTGGATGGGATTAGCATAGATGATGAAAAATCGGCCCCTAAACTCAGCGAGAGCGAAGAGTCGTTGCGGGACCTTGTATCTGGAACCGGGAGCCCGAACCTGTTGAAGGCAAAGGAATTTTGGCTCGCTTGAATGGTACGTTTGAATTCATGAATCACCCAAAAAGCCATCTTGTATAGAATAACATGGTACTCACAGATTCTGTTTCCTTCTTAGAAACTTTGGTTTAAGGGATGCGGAAATAAGCCCATAGCTGTTACAGATCTCCGCCTGTATTAGTTCTGGAGGGGGATGAATTCTAAGGTCTTGAATGGGTATCCGTCCCTGCCGGACATATGCCACCGAGCCTTCGTCCTGAACTTCTGCATCCTCGCTCGAGAGCGGGAATTATGGACAGATATAGCGTCAGAAAAGAACGTACCGGGGACGTCACTTTCTCAAGCCGAAATTTAGACCCTCGGGTCTTGTATTCGAGATGCTTACAAGCAGACCAGACTGGCCCTCGTGGATAATCCAATGGGCCAGCCAGTACAGTTTGACGAGGAGGACTTAATGCCACTGATCCTCGCGCGATCTGTGGGTGGACAGCTTGACAGAATCATACAGGCCATGGGTACGTGCCTATCTGCTGAAATCAAGGAGTTTGGAGGCGAGTTGAGCCTTGGAATATCCATTAAGAATACGAATCTGAAATTGATCCTGGCGCAGGCAGCAGACTCGGAAAACAAGGAGCAGCGAAAAGTTGCATTGGAGGATTTTACTGCAGTAGTGATAAGAAGGGGTTAAAATTTGTCCAGAGAACTCAGGGGATTGTTGGTTGAGCTCAGGGCTTCTCTACAGACCATTGAAAACGGGATTCGGGAGGCCGAGGAAGATGGATCCTTGGAAAGCAATGAGTCTTAGTACTTTAAGAACAGACACTAATGGGAGTTTAATTGCTTATATGGCCCCTATCAAGCCTCCCATGAATGTAAGACAAACACATTTGGTGGGGTAGACCTTTCTCTAAAGCAGCAGCCACGATTTCTCGTCAATGTCTACAACCACCACTCCACCCTGTCACCACTGCTTCTGTCTTTAGTCATTACCACGAGACTATACTACCGTGTTATGTAAGCGTCAAGTGCTTCTTGTTTAGTCTCCCTTACCCATGATAGCCTCTCTTCTACAATATCTTGGCCCTCAGCAGTACTTCCCCTAGACCAGTTTCTTTTTTGCATTGACTTGCCTTTCACAACAAACCCCTCTCTGCAAACCTTCCCTACTAAAAGAGTCTCTTGCGACAACTTTTCCTCTATAGTAGCTTTCCTCTACCAACGTTATAACCGCGTTACAAGAACATTTAGCAATTTGAAAGCCTACGTGTTTGTAAAGCTGGTCCTCCCTGAAGTCTGTTCCATCTCTTTCAACAGTTAAAGTCGCCGTGGATATTTGTTGACAAAACCAAAGTCGCAGGCACCAAGAAACAACCCCACAAGCCCAGGGATCTGTTTCGATACTCCTTTGGTTCAGTCAGACGTAGTATTACCGGGTCAACAGCCGTTTCTAGAGCCAGTTGCCACACAAGGGAGTCTGACAGCCGGCAGGAAGTAAGCTAACTATAAGCAGATCATTCACATTGGACCATCCACTTCGGCCAACAAAGTCTATGTCTTGATTTGTATCGTCCAAGGTGGTCCTGCTGACTAGGAGTTAAATTACTTCCAAGTCGGCGTCAGCGCCAGAGGCTCTCCAGCTGGTGGAAAATCAAGCGAGAATCTTCCTATACTAGTTCACTTGCCATCGACGGGAGTGTCGACTCTCCTTTGCGCCGCGGCCGTTCAGAATTTCAACAGGGAGGTGTAGCTGTACTACTCGTCCCTTGCCTTTGAGGTGGCTAAACTGCCTTTGCCTATGATGTTATCTCTTGGATGGATGAGTTGACTCGCAGCCCGTTGTAATGCCAGTCAGTCTTTCTGTTGGTAATTTGTCTGCCGGACGCCTTTGGAGGCGGATGATGGATCATCCATCATGTATGCATCACCAAGGGCGTCTTCGGTTCTCCGCACCCTGAACCTGAACCATGCATAATGCAGGGCAGTGTGCTCAGAGGCGGTCACCGTTGCCATCATGGCTAGCCCAGGCAGCGGAAAGACTTATACTCTAACCTCTTATATTGTCTGGCTTGTTGATGCCATAAGCTAGCAGCTACAGGATATCATTGTTGCTACCTTTACCGTCAAAGCCGCTCACGAGATGCCGGACGGCAGCACATCGGCAAAGCCTTACCGGACGGTTACGAGGAGAGGATGGCCTTTGGTAGGTCCCACAGCATTGCTTTGTCATTATGAACCGCACCTGCAAATGGATCAGACCCTGTCCAGGCGTATATATGAATGAGCAAGAGAAAAGCCAAGGGCAAAGCGTGGAAACCCTTGTCTTTGTAGAGAAGACGCAGCGGCGAGGCCGCGGATGGGGCCAAGTTATTTGAGCTGTGTAGTGGGGTTGCCTGGATTTTTTGATTTCCTCCTTAGAGGCTACGAATACCCGTGATCAGTCATGGGAAGTCGACTCTTGAGCAACTTGCATGAATACCTGCAGCAAATGGCATATCTCCAGTGGCATTGATCCTTAACTTCGGCCGGGTGGGTAATCCAACTAGATATCCCGCTGGTTTGGAATGCTGGAAAGACTTTGCTTCTAGTCTATTGCAGAGCCAAAATCTTTAACTAGAATTTTAGTTTTAGGTATTCAATAAAGGCTGAACCTTGAAGTTTTCAGCGACGCCGACACTGTGGTGCAATGATAGAGCGAAGCACCAACGACACATTCCAGACGACAACACAGCGAAGACAATTTATGACACACATAAAGTGATTCGTGGGTTATAAAACTTTGAGTTCATTCCTATGGATATCGGAATCTATATCTAATCCGGTGCCCTCTGGCTCTGTGTGTTGACTCAGTTGTGGGCCTGGCCTTATTTGCGCAGATTATGGGCACCAACCAGCCTGCGACCAAGTGGGAGCTCATAGGACCCGATGGGCATGGGCTCGGCTTAAGACGCATCTAGTAACGGCTGAGAGAAAGACCTCATTGATTTGAAAGCTATTCAAGACTTTCCGGGTGTTTAGTTGTCTACTGCGGTATCAATTGGTGGTTCAGCTGTTACCCATGCAGTGCCTTTCCAAACATGAATGGAAAGAAGCCGCTGCCCAAAGTCGCAGTCTGCGGCCATGCTTTCCCAGATGTGATGGGAAGGAGCCTAACTTTTGCACAGAGCCAAGGTATTTTAGCTGCACGGTGGATGTTCCACATTGTAAGCATCCTCCCAGCACCACCGGCAGCAACAACTTTTTTTTAAAGAGAACATATTTATTTAAGTTGTTAAAAAAAATGCCCAAGAAGTCGCGCTGTGAGGCGCTCTGGGAGCGCATCAAGAGCCTCCTCTCCTCCTCCTCCTCCTCCCCTGGCCTCCCTGGAGGCACCTTGTCGAAGAAGCGCATTACAATACCACCTGTTATAGGTACTTAGATACTGAGTAGATTTGTTGCAATGGCCACAGCCGCCGCGGTCACTTATCTCCTCTCTCTGCTTGGTCTCGGCCGATCCGCTGTCCCACGCAACCCCACCACACCCTACCTTACCTCACCCCACCCCGAGCCGGCTCAAAAATGAGCAAAAAAAAGCATCTGGAGAAGTCCGGGATCGAACCGGAGACCTTCCGCAAGGCTTGAGCGATGGAAGATTCCACCATGCAAAGCGGGCGCGCTACCACTGCGCCACAACCCCTTGGATGACAACGTTCAATTCTATCAGCATGATGTACCTGAAGCAAACTAACCGAATACCTAGAGTGTCTTGACTATTTCTTGAGTAAATTAGATCAGCTATTAAAGTTAATTCAGTGGTGCTTTGACACTCCAATGTGATGAAATCCTGACATCTTTAAAGCAAACAAGACCTGGGACGACTCCAACCCGCTGGTACGGACCATGGCGGGAGCGGGCCGGGTTAACCGTATCGGGCAGCAAAACGTTTGGGGCAGGCCTGGAGAATGCACGGGCCAAACCCCACACCGGCCGCCAAGACTATTTGTGATTCCGGTTGGCGGTCGCAATCAGAAGTTTGCGCGTCTGTAAGTTGCACTTCGCCATCTCGCAACACAAGCGCAGTCCCAGGCATTGATGCACTTCCGCTTTCTGAAGTCACTCATCATGTCTGAGGCGGCTGTCAACAGAGTGGCGGTCCCTCCAAGGGGAGTCGACTACAGAGGCAAACTCGTTCTGGCACCCATGGTCCGGTCGGGCGAATTGCCGTCGCGCCTGCTCGCCCTCCACTATGGCGCCGACTTGGTCTGGGGTCAGTTTCTCTGCGCATCTCAATTGCAATTCGTCAGGTGCTGACTAGTCTTGCATGCGCAGGCCCCGAGACTGTCGACCGATCCATGCTAGGTACAACGCGACGAGTCAACCCGTCCACAAACACAATCGACTTCATTCGTATCCCACACCAAGGCCAGAAGCAGCCGCCACCCAACGCCAAAGAGTCGGTGATCTACCGGTTACACCCAGAGTGCGAAGGGCGCAAGCTCATCTTCCAGATTGGCACCTCCGACCCAGACCGCGCCGTCGCCGCCGCACGACTCATCGCACCCGACGTGGCGGGAATAGACGTGAACGCAGGGTGCCCGAAACCGTTCAGCACGCACGATGGGATGGGCGCGGCCCTTTTGAGGACGCCTGATAAGCTGGTGGCCATCTTGGAGGCTTTGGTGAAGAACATTGTACCGGAATTCCAGATCGGAATCAGTGTGAAGATCAGGATACTGGAAACACCCGCAGAAACAGAAGCCTTGGTCAGGAGGCTGGTGGCCACGGGAATCACAGGGCTGACCGTGCACTGCCGAACAACGCCCATGCGACCCCGCGAGAGGGCCATCCGAGGCCAGCTGCAGATGATCCGGGAGGTGTGCCACGAGGCGGGCGTTGCGTGCCTGATGAACGGGGACGTCGAGAGTCGGGACTCTGCCGCGGAGCTCATCAAGGAGTTTGGTGTTGACGGGGCCATGATTGCGACTGCGGCAGAGAAGAACTCGAGCTGTTTCAGATCCAAGGAGCAGGGTGGCATGGCGCCTTGGGGCGAGGTGACGGAGACGTATCTCCGATTTGCGATGGAGACGGAGAACAAGTTCGGCAACACGAAATACATACTGAACCAGATAATACCTGGCAAGCAGCCAGCGTACAAACGAGTCCAGTCCTGCAAGAGCTATACTGCTGTCTGCGAGGCGCTGGGGCTCAACCATTTGAAGGACGCGGCGACCGACGCAGACAAGGCGGTTGGCATTATTGTCGACTCTGGCGCGAAATCTGCGGCCACGGTGAACGGAAGCGCCAAGCGGAAGACCCAAGCCAATCCAGCTTCGCAGGCCTCCGAGGAGGTTGCCACCAAACGTCAGAAGACGGACGAGCCGGCGAAGGAGACCGAGATACTTCGGTCCCCTGTGGCTCTCTCAGTTTGAGCACGCGGCACACTCACCAAGACCTCAACTAGCATATTCACACAGTGGTGTTTTGAAAAGCCTGTGACAATTCGGCGTTATTGGCGGCATGGTTGGACAGTAAGGTTTTAGACAAAGATATCCAAAGACAAATTAGGCAACACACTGGTAAAGGTAATTGGATCCCTTTCTCCACTACATAAAGGCTAGCAGTTGCAACGGCTGCCGCCACCGAGGCAGATCTTGTAACCACCTACCATATTACGCAATTCTCTGATCACAAACTTCTGATGATTCAGAAGATATCCTACAATCTCTGTCAAAGATGCATACCGGTACCAGGATTTCCCATCTTCTTCATGATTCCACCTGTAGTGGTGAAAGGCCCTGTTGCTCTGCACTGTGCAAGGCACTGTACCTGCCGTTCCAAGCAGCGGGAAAGCTCACTTGCCTGGGTGAGTGACCAGGTATCCCCTCACAGCGGCTACGCTGCCCAAAACGCACCCACCGACATCACATGTAAGGTGACGTACGTTACAAATCTCAACAGCCTGCATGCACACCTGCATAGAAACTGAGAGTGATTCCAAAAGTTATCTCCTGCAGCCCTTTCATTTGTCCTCCCGAGAGGCACGCCACCACGTGTTGCCCGCCAAAGCGTGCCACCGTTTCAACCCTGTTCGCCTCCCACATGCAGGCCTGAGAGGGTCTCGTCCCATCGATCGCCGGCGGTCGGGCTAGATGACGGATCACGGCATCAAAACACACGGAGCTTTGCGCACTCAAGATGAGTGACTTGCAGAAGGCGTGGGCGAAGAAGAAGATGGAGATGAGCAATGCAGATGTCTTCAATGAGCTAGACGAGGAGGAGGAAGAGGAGGAGGAGAACGGTCGCATAGGGGAGCTTCCGGAATCCTTGGACGACGACTCCTCATCGGCCTCGTCGGCATCGTCCACCGGCACCGTCGTTCCCACCCCAAGCAGGAAGCTCTTTGCCAGGCCATTAGGGTGAGTGCTGCTCATTTGTTGTTCAGACGCCCTAGTCCGAGGGGACCTCAATCAAACTTACTGATCGAGCTCGACCAGTCCGCCACGGGGAGGAGGCAGAACGCTGGATCAGATACCTTGGACGGCGTATTTTGAACGGGAGCTCTTCCTCGAAGGCCTGAAGGACGAGACCGGCACAGCTCAGATTACGCACCATGCCTATCTTACCTCACCTGGCGATAAGGGACCACTGTTCGTAATGCACCACGGCGCTGGATCATCTGCCTTGTCGTTTGCAATGGTAGGGTCCGAGATCAGGAAGCGGCTGCCATCCGCGGGCATCCTGTCCCTGGATGCGAGGGGCCACGGGTCGACAGTCACGCTCCCGGATTCGCCCCTCGACTTACGCCTGGAGACACTGCGCAACGACCTGCTGTCCGCAATCCAGCAGGCCCAGGCGCAGATGGGTTGGAAGGAACTGCCCCCAATTGTGCTCGTTGGTCACTCGCTCGGAGGCGCCGTCGTGACGGATCTCGCAAAATCCCATGCCCTGGGAACTTCACTCCTCGGATACGCCGTGCTGGACGTCGTCGAGGGCTCAGCCATGGACGCCCTCCAAAGCATGACGACGTATTTGTCCACCAGGCCTACAGGCTTTGCTTCGGTACAAGCTGGCATCGACTGGCACATTCGATCGAGGACACTCCGCAACTCCATCTCAGCGCGCACTAGCGTGCCTGCCCTGTTGGCGCAGGATCAGAGCCCAGGCGTGAGCAGGCCCTGGAAATGGAGGACGAATCTCGCTGCGACGGAGCCCTTCTGGTCGGACTGGTTCGTGGGCCTGAGCAAGAAGTTCCTCGAGGCGAAGGGCGGGAAGCTGCTGATCCTAGCCGGGACTGACCGGCTGGACAAGGAATTGACCATCGGCCAGATGCAAGGTGAGCCTTTTCCGTCACTGCGTGCGTGTGGCTGACCATGGGACTGACTGCTGTACAGGCAAATATGCCCTGCACATCTTCCCGGAGGCTGGCCATTTCGTCCATGAGGATGTGCCTGAAAACACGGCCATGGTGATTGTCGACTTCTACAGACGCAACGATAGAAGTGCCCTGGTCCTGCCACCGAAAGTTGGAGACTTGTTGGCACAGGGAAAGCGAGTCTAGCTTGACAAGGTTAAGGAAGACATGCCCGGAAGTCGTCCTGTTCGAAATACAGTTTGTGTTGGGGCTTTGAGAGTAACATGCTCCCAACATGTGGTGAAACAGCCACACCTACAGGGCTGAGCATACAACGAAGCAGAGGGAAGTTCACGGCCTAGCTGCGGGGCGTACTTAGCCGTCAGTGTTAACAGGGGCGCAGATGGTAGATGATCGAGGTAGAATAAGATTTAGATACTGCATGGTCAAGATACTTCGGGGCCTCTCTTGGCCCGTATCAAAAGAATTCCAACCCTTCCAGTACGCCGCAGCCAGTAAATCAGCCTCAGATGCTCATCAGTTGTAGTTGCGTTGGTTATCCGCCGCCTCGATCTCTCTCCGCCGAGCCTCCTCCTCAGCTGACTGCTTCATGGTCTCGTTCATGGTCTGCTTCTTCTGCTGCAGAAGCTGGCTGCCCAACTTGCCACTGGCCTTGCCTTCTGCTGCCTTCTGTCTTGCCTAAGAGAACCGTCAGTTCACGAGGAAATGCAGCTGGTGGCTAATGCCGTCAAAAATCTCCAAGTCGCGGTCGGGGGTCCTTTCTCACCTCGGCAGCCTCGGCAGCCTTGCGCCTCGCATCCGCGGCGTCTGCGGCGGAGGGCCCGCCGCCGCCCGCGGCTGACGATCCTCCCAGCGTCCGCGGGGGCCCGCCGACGACGCGCTTGTTGCTGGGTAGCGGCGCGATAGGACTCCGCTCAGGTGAGGAGTCCAGCCGGCGGCCTGGGCCGGCGAAGTTCTCTTCCCTCGACTCCTTGCCGCAGAGGGCTCCCATGTCTGCGTGTGGTGCCTTCAACTGGGCCTGGGCTTGGACGATCCCGTGAGAAATAAACAGGACCCCGGCGCAGGGATGTAGATTTGAACCAAATAGGAGCAGGGTATGGAAAATGAGCGGTGTTGTGAGTGACCTTGGTGGTGGACTGGTCCTCTGATCAATGGCGCTCGGGGGCGTCTCAAGGCGGGTTGGGTTGGCTTGCTGGGCTGCTTGAGATGGTGGCACAAATGAGGGACGCAGGATACTGGAGTGGTGATTGCTTGGTGGGGCTAATGACAAGCTCTCCGCTGTGACGGCTTGTATGAGTTGGGCTGGATTCGTTCAAGCGTAGCAA